CCCTGCCCAGTCGGGCGCAGCGGGGGGGGCACCCGGCGGGCGGCGGCCGGAGCTCTTCCCCGCAGCGGGGGCAGGGCCGGGGTCTCCCGGCCAGCTGCCTAGCGCCGAGCGTCTCCCAAGCCACCTCCTGAGGTGAATCCCCTGCGGCTGCGGGCAGCGGAGCCTCCTCAGCGGACTTGAGCGGAGAGCGAGGGGACAGCGCCAGCCTAACACTGAGGGCAGGAGACACACGCACCCTCATGCAGAGAAACGATGTTTGCACCCAGTCGTGTAATCAAACCCAGTTTCTCTTCAATAGATTTAAAGATCATCATCTTCTTCTACCCCGGCGGCCCCCGGCGGCGAGGGCGCTGTGCTGCGCACACCCGGGCTGTGGGCAGGGCTCGGCGGCAGAGAAGTGTTGCGGGGAGCCACGGCAGGGGCGCCTCCTTGCATGGTAGGAGGCAGGATTGAAGCCAGGCTGTCCTCCCCCAGAGGTCTTCTCCGACCAGAGCGAGACCACCGCACAGCTGCGCATACGCTTTCCCCAGAGGCCTGCCCCAGCCTTGTGATGGATGGATAGGGAGGGGGGCAGAAAAACCTAAACAAAAGCAACTTTGCTCCCTTGAGTTACTCCATTTCCCCTCAATGGAGCTCACCCACCCCCTTTATTCATGGCCTTGTTAGGGCTGTCAGGTGGACAGTGAGCAGTTCGCGCACACAGCAAATCCAGCCATCCAGGAAGTCACTGATCTTTTTCTCCCTCAAAAAGCTATTGGGATAGAGCACAAGATACAAAGTGTAGTTGCTGAGCTGCATTATGGGCAATTGCTGTCATTCTCCCAGCCCACAGCTGATGCTTCATTCCCCACTTTCTTGATCACTCATTTAATATAAAATCATTTGAGAGAGAGAGAGAGGGACAGACATCCACAGTGATGCGTGTTCAGTGAACTAGCTCTGCATGCAGTGATGTGCAGCATTTAACACACAACTTACCTGGCACAGGGTGCGTGGGCACCAGCCCTGGCTGATTTAGAGGGTTCACCAGCAGGATCCCACAGCTCTCTGCATGCTCCCTCCCGCCCCCACAACTTTCTAGTAACCCCCTGTGATAACATCTGACAAAAAGCATTACAAAAATGAAGGCTCAGGCATGTATCTAAATAAAACATGGAGTGATACATTAACCAAGAGAGTAAAATACAATTGCCTGCTGAATGTGCTCCAGCCCAGAAAGTTATTTAGCCACTAGGCGACTGTGGCATTGATGCCTACACAGTCAGATGGATTGCAGATTGGCTCAAGGGTCGTACTCAGAGGGTGGTGGTGGACGGGTCATATTCAACCTGGGGAGAAGTGGGCAGTGGAGTCCCCCAGGGCTCGGTCCTTGGGCCTGTGCTGTTCAATCTCTTTATCAGCGATTTGGACGACGGGGTGAAAAGCAACCTGTTTAAATTCGCTGATGATACCAAAATTTGGGGT